CAGTCAATAAAATATTCCATGAAGAAGAAATGAAAAATGTAAGTCGAAACCAGCAAAGGGTGGAACTAACCTAGATAAATATTCAATGAAAGGAGAAACTAATTCAAATTAAAAACTCAAAAGAAATAATAATGACAGGGAATAAAATCATATCTCAATAATAATATTGAATATAAATGTCCTAATCTCATCAACCAAAAGACATAGACTGACAGATTGGATTAAAACATGAGATCCRGAGCTGGGGATRTGGCTCAAGCGGTAGCGCGCTCGCCTGGCATGCGTGCGGCCCGGGTTCGATCCTCAGCACCACATACCAACAAAGATGTTGTGTCCGCCGAGAACTAAAAAATAAATATTAAAAATTCTCTCTCTCTCTCTTCTCTCTCACTCTCTCTAAAAAAAAAAAAAAAAACAAAACAAAACATGAGATCCGACAATATGGTGTCTCCTAGAGACTCACCTCATAGACCAAGATATTCACAAACTGAAAGTAAAAGGATGGGAAAAAACATCATTCACAGGGGTCTTGTAAACAAGCAGGGTTTTCTATCCTCATAGCAGATAAAGTAGACATCAAGCCAAAGTTAATCAGAATGGAGAGAGAAGGACATTTTATACTGCTTAAGGGAATCATATATCAATAAGACATAACAATCATAAATATTTATGCCCTAAACAATGGAGCATCTATGTACATTAAAAAAAACTTCTCAATTTTAGAATCAAATAGACCAAAACACAAAAATAATGGATGACTTTAACACACCTCTCTCACCATTGGAGACATCCTCAAAAAAAAAAAAATGAAAAMCAAAACTAAATAAAGAAGCTATAGAACTAAAAAATACAATTAATAATTTAGGCTTAATAGATATATACAGAATATTTTATCCATCAATGACTGAATAGACTCTCAATAGCACATGGATCTGTTTCTAAAATAGACCATTACTCAGGCCACAAATCTACTATTAGCAATCACAACAAATGGAGATATTACCTTGCATTCTATCAGATCCTAATGGAATTAAATTAGAAATCAATTAAAATAAAATAAGATAAAAATAGAAGCTACTCTAATACATGGAGACTAATTAATATACTACTGAACCTACAGAATGRGAGAAAATCTTTGCTCCCTGAACCTCAGATAGAACATTAATCTTCAAGATATATAAAGAACTCAAAAAACTTAACACTTCCAAAACCCAAATAACCCAATCAATAAATTGGCAAAGGAACTGAGCAGATACTTCAAGAAGAAGAAATATGAATAGTCAACAAATATATCAGAAAATGTTCAGCATCTCTAGCAATTAGAGAAATGCAAATTAAAAAACTACACTGAGATTTCATCTCACTTCAGTCAGAATGGCAATTATCAAGAATGCAAATAATAAATGTTGGKGAGGATGTGAGAAAAAAGGTACACTGGTGGAACTGCAAATTGGTGCAACCACTGTGGGAAGAGTTTGGAGATTCCTCAGAAAATTTCAAATGGAACCACCATTTGACCCATTTATCCCACTCCTTGGCATATACCCAAAAGATGTGACATCAGCATACTATAGTGATGTGGCCACATCAATGTTTATAGCCACTCAATTCACATAGCTAAGCTATGGAACCAAACTAGGTGCCCTTCAACAGATGAATTGTTAAAGAAAATATACACAATAGAATATTACTCAGCCATAAAGAAGAATGAAATTATGGCATTTGTCAATAAATGTATGAAAATGAAATGAAATAATCCAATTCAAAAGAATGAAGGCTGAATGTTCTCTCTGATATGTGGATGCTAACACACAATAAGGTGGGAGGGTAGGGAAGAATAGGAGTTCATTGGATTAGACAAAAGGGCATGAAGAGAAGGGAGGGGGAATTGGAATAGGAATGACTGTAGAATGAATTGGCCATAACTTTCCTATGTTCATATATGAATACATGACCAGTATAACTCTGCATCATGTATAACTATGAAAAATGGGAAGTTATACTTCATATATATTGTAGATGTCAAATAAATTCTACTCTCACTAAAAAGAACAATAAAAATTTAAATAAATAAAAAAACACTCAGATTCAATAGCAATTGAAATTCAAGGACAAGGTCATTTAGACTTTAGCCATAGGCACATATGATAGAATACATTAAATAAATAAGCAGAAGACATTTCTGAAAAGTTCTTCAAGAAAACCAGATATAGCTGAGGATTTATCTTTGCCTATGTAAAAGAGCAAACATATTTTTTGATTCTAAATCATTGTATACAGACCTTCCATTTATAGTTAACTCATCACTGCTGCTATGCTACCATTCCATTTAGTTTTCAACTGTCTCAAGTTGTAACTTGTACAGAATTGTTTACAAAAGCCAAATCCACTAGTTCTATAAGCAGTATGACAAATTAGTATACAAAACTCATTTAAAACTGCTTATTACCATTGCTTTAACTCTCTGAGGGAGAGAACCAAAAGCAGCAAAAGTAATGTCTTCATTTTAAAAGGAGAACTTTGTTCCTCTCTACCAAAACCTAAAACTATTTGAAATGATGTTTGCAATATACTATCATCTTATTACACATTAGTGTCCCTACAGTTTAGTACATATTACATTTTATTTTTCCCACTCTCTCATTATACATTTTAAATCTCATATATATTATATTTAGAAAGGAGGGAGCCTAGTGTGGCAGGGACTGCCMCAGGGAACACTGGTTGATCCTACCGCAGTGTAGCAGGTGCTAAGGGTCACATCCTGCACAGCTGAAGCAAGAGTTCTGGTTATCAGGTTCTCTCTCCATATGCTTACCTTACATTTTGGGGGATCTCATTTCATTTGTTTTTCATCACCATCAATTAGAAGTATTTTTTTTTTTTATGGCAGAACTAATTCACAGTCAAGTCTGGYTTTCTCCCAGGACTTATGTGAAAGTTCTTCACAAAGAAGTTTAGAAAACCCTCTACCTCTTTCACATCTCCCCTACACAAAATCTCAAAGACCAGATATTCTCTTGGGTCAGCTCTGTCCACCCTCTTTCAAACAATGAGACTGCACTCTGCTTTCCATTACCCCATCCCTTCAGCATTACCATTTCTTTCCAAGACAATGATGAAGGAGAAAAATTAAAACTATGTATACCCCCAAAACAAATAAACAATTTGAACATATAATTTCATTACACAGATTTTTTTAACCATTATGCTAAAATTGAAGAATATGTGTGTGTGTTTGTGTGTGTGTGTGTGTGTGTGTGTGTAGAAATATTAAATGTTTTACAATGAATGTCATTCATGAAATTCAAAAGCTCAGGCATGCCATGAGTCTGCAATAACAACGTTTTATTTGGTTCTAAATCATTTGAAAGATTTAAATATTTATATTTAGCACAATGCTAAGTGCTAAAAATAAAGATTTACAGTAAAGATTTAAGGTGTTCCCTAATCTTACCAATTTGCTTTTGCAGTAACTGCAGTTGCTGCATATGCAATGAAAACCTTTTAAACTAAGTGTGGGTGGGCATATTATATTCGGGGAACATAATCTTCCATGTAAACACAATGTTTATAATTCTGAAACATTGTCTTTATTCCATTTAAGTTTCATGACCACAAAAACCTTCTCTTAAATTACTGGGGTTCTTTCCTTATTATCATAACTGAATTATTATTCTTTTCTTATTATCTTTCCTTTTTATCATAAGTGAACTATTATTCATATGTTTAAGGTGAGTATAAGCCAGTGGGACATTAGAAAATGGAACAGGAAGCAAGAACAATTCTTCAGTGTGTAGAGCTGTCCTGTTCATTGCAGAACATATACCATCCCTAAAGAGCAATAAAGATCTAACCCATGATAGCAACACAATTTCCATGAACAATTTCAGATTTCCTCTCAAGTGAAACATTCTACTGAAAGTTACTGAACTATGGGGACAGAGCTGTGGTTTGCTCCTCTCARTAGGCAGGCTGATCTCAAATGCTTACAGTAACTGAACTTAGAATATACAACACAACTTTGGGGCCTGGTCATGATGCAGCATTATAGGGAAAAAATTATACTTTTCATCACTTCACTTTCATCTATGAAGGAATTTAAATTGTTTTTCCATTTTGATGTTWCATATTTTTTCTGCTTTAATGAGTGGTAGGTACAAATTTATTTTTAAACACCATTCTTTGCTGGTAATTCAGTATAAACATCTGATTTAGACGAAGTTCTTCTGTTTTTTTTTGCCTACTTGGCTACCTGAAATAGATTTAAGTATTATGTTTTTTTTTTCCTTTAATGAGGATCAATCTCAAAATGTTAATTGATAATTTTGATGAGATTATTTCACTATCTTGACCCATGCATGTATATMTATCTAATAAAGTGGTTTTCTTATTAAGAACATTTCACTCTAAAATTTCCAAATAGTATAGTAACAATAATTTTCAACCTCTTTGGAATTTAAGCTTSTGCAGAACTCGTAATTAAAAAAGAATCTTCCTTCTCCAACATATTCTTAGGGAGAGGAGTACATTTGGAGGGATTATTGACAAGTTTACTGATAAGAGGCCATCTAAGGAARTGTTTAATATTGTGGAAGTATTGTAGAAGAAGCAGGCACGGAGCTGCAGGCGATGGTGTAGCCATGGTGCCCAGGGAAATCTAACACAACCTTCCCAATCATAATTCCTGTCTCTCCAATAGGTTCAGTCAAATATTAGGTATTCGTGCCTGCACTAGAATGAAGTGGAAATGTTTGATAATTTCTCAAGTCAGAGGCAGCATTTAAAGAGGAAGCATCTCTGTGGATGCTAGATGCAATACAAGTGGAAGATACAGATATTCTGACATTCCAAATGGTAACTCAGAATGTAGGAATGTTAGTTCCTGGTAAAGACAAGGTTAGATTTGTAATGAGAATGTATTGAGCCTCCATGGAGCATGTGGCTACGTACAAGCTGGATTTCACAATCATTGCATTCTTTTTTTCCTATGCCAACAGGAAAACATGCTTCCAAATCCCCAGAGCCAAGAGTGTAGGAGCAACACCATTTTCCCCTGCTTCATCTTTGTAGAGGTAAGAAAACTCTGGAATTTCACCATTCCAATGTGTATTATTCAATAGAAAAAGTAGTATTACTCAAAATAATAATAGAATAGCGTACGTTCAATATCTACTCCAACTATTCCCCTCTACACATTAAATCTATAGAAACCTATAGTATCATGGGCTTATTTTAATCTGAATTGTTTCTTGGTCACAGTGATTATGAACACAGATAGTATATTTGCATCATGCAGAAAGGTCTTTTTAGATCCAAAGTTGTATTTTTATTGCCTCATGGATGCATCTCTTTGTATATACCTCCATTTTTTAATACCTACCACTCTTTCTACAAGCTCTTCCATATTCCAGTATTTCTTAGCCTMTTCTAGAACTATTCTAGAACTTAGTAGTGTTGACTTGATTTTATTGGTTCATATAACTGACCCTAAATTAACCAGCAAGCCCTGAAGCTGTGACAAAATGCCTGAGAAAATCAATTTAAGGAGGAGTGATTAACTTTTGGCTCATGGTTACAGGGATTTCGGTCWATGATAAACAGGCTTTATTGTTTCCAGGAATATGGAAAGGCAGAATATCATGGCATGAGGACATGGTGGAGCAAAGCTAATTACTTCATTATGACTACAAAACAAAGTGAGAGAACTTGTTTTTATAACAAAACCCCTAACCCCAAACCCACTGTGCTGTGAAATCATTAAGGGAAAAATCCATTGATGAGGTCAGAGCCCTCATGAGCCAATCACCTTCCAAAGGCCCCACCTCTGAATACTGTTGCCTTGGGAACCAAGCCCACACGTGTGCTGTCAGGGAACAACTCAGATTCAAACCATAACAGAGTTTTCTTCTTGTTTGATTGCTGCAATAGCTTTCTAGTATTGTTCTATAAAATGATCCAAGGCAATCTTATGAACCGAGAGGCAAGCTTTTCAGGACAGAAGGGAAGGGAGAGTGATACAAATCAAACTTTGACATTATTTAAAATGTGTTTAAATGCTTTAAGACTATAAGAGGTAAAACCCTTTTATTAGATTTTTTAAGTGCAGTAAAAATCTACAAGTTAGATTGAATGAACTATTTGTAGTATTTGTAATAAAGATCTTTAGCCTAAGTATGAGCAACTTTCATCTAAAAGTAAATAAACTGACAAACAGACTATAGGAAAAACTTTCTTTACAATTGAGTTATAAGATAACTATCATTGATGTTTCTACCAATTTTTCTTTCATGCAGTGGAAAACAAAGGTCATAACAGTGGAAGGAATTTGGAAAGTCAATCTGTATACAAGTAAAACAGGTAGAAGCTACTAGGTAGCTGAATAGAGCTGGCCATAGGAAGAATAGCTATGAGAGATTTGTGCTATTTAAAGTTCTCAAGATTAGATAGAGCAGGAGAACTGGAGCACAGCGGGATAAATTACAACCTCTAATGCCAAATCCCATTGTTTTTTAAACTGAAACAATTCTGGTATTTGGGGAGCCGGTGGATGTTTTTAGAAGGATTATAACAATTGGAAAAAATGCTTTAGGGTGAATTGGGGACATTTGCTAAATTATTTGTGGAGTGAATCCAGGAATCTAGACAGTTAAGCAGAGAGAGAAAATAGCTGGGACAGAAATGGGGAAGGATGAATGATGACTAAGTTTGTTAACTATTTGGTGCTATTTTAACTGGTGTTAATGTATGAACGGAGATTATTGTCTATCAATTTATTTTAGGTGATATTAACTTGTGCCTGAATCTAATAAACTAGGGACCGGATTATAAACTTTTGCATTAGCCTTCACCTATCTATTTAACTTTGCCTAGCTAAGGGAGAAAATAAATAAATAAACAGCTTGTCTGTTCTCTCCTGTTTCACCACAAATAATTTTTTATTTAATTAGTTATACATGACAGTAGAATGCAATTATTTACTTTGATATACATAGATGGGATATAATTTCTCATTTTTCTGAGTATACATATTGTAGAATCATATTGGTTATACAGTCRCATATATACATAAAGTAATAATGTCTGTTTGATTCTACTACCTTGGATGGTCAGAAGTTCGGCCAAACTAGCAGGTTCCCCTGAGGGGTKATGGGAGATTGGAAGAAAGAAAGCGTCAATACACACAGATCTTAAAGATAAAGCTGGAGTGGGATGGAGCACTGCTCTCTSATGGAGAAGCAGGTCTAAAGAATTATACCAGCAATCTTTATTATATATGTCTCTAAACCAGATTAAAGACTATGCAAGCATTATTCTTTGTATTCATATTMTTTGTATTCATGAAAGTTACAGAGTTAGCAACAGTATGCAACTATTTTCTCAGTTACATTCCACAGTTGCAATGTCCAATGTTAGGAGAATTGTGCAGCTCTCAAGAAAGTCCATTGTTTAAAATTACTAATTTGCGAGCAGATTCAGGAGCAGCAGAACAGGTGAAACATTGTGGTTATCTTAGCAAGGAAGTTCCTTCATTCCCAGGAGCTGCTGTTATAAGGTCGAGGCTGATAAGACTCTAGGATGGAGTACATCTCCATAGCAACCAAGCATCCTATGCCTTTGCACAGAAACTTTCCCAGTCACCAAGTATGCCACAGCCASGAAGTCATCAGGGATCCCAGTCTCAGACACTGGTCTCCCAGTCACTGTCACCGCCCTTCACAACCCACCCCATCCAATTCATACCCAGCATGGGCTCTCTGCCCAATGAACATAGAAGCCAATAGTGAGGCACCAGGGTTTTACAAAAGAGAAAGCTTTATTTTTGAGGCCAAGTGTCAAGGAGGCCAGAAAGGGAGAGCGGAGAAGCTGCTTGTTGCTTGGATGGTCAGAAGTGGWATCAATCATAATTTTAGGGTTCTTTGGCACAGATTGTCATCTTGGATTACAAATTCACTTTTTGTGGGGGGTGTTATCATGTTCCACACTGGAGATTTTGAGCTTGTGACAGCCACAAAAGTAACTGACCGGAGAAGCTGGCTTCTGCAAGTGCCCATTCTTGAGAAGCTGGCTTCAAATCTTCCTTGAGTAGATTCTGAAGGATCTTCCTAAAAATAAAAATTTAAAAATTTAAAAAAAATAAAAAACCGTAGGCACTTTGTTTTTAAGGAATTGTGTCCAGATGTGTGGAGACCTTAACTGATTTTACTTGATAAGATAACTAAGACTGTAAGATGACACTGACCTGGTGTCCTGCACCTTTATGTTTATATAGCTCCAGGRTTTCAACAGCCCCATGCAGTTTTACCTGCTTGCTGCCCTTTGCTGCAGCTTCCCTCTCTCAAAACAACAAGATAAAAACCAGCAACCGGATTCAGGGATTTAGCCTCAGCATCAMCCCTCTATTCTTAGTACTGTTTCTTTTTCTTTAAAAACAAAATAGAACTGGGRTGTAGCTCAGTGGTAGAGCAGTTGCCTAGCATGCACAAGGCCCTGGGCTCAATCCTCAGTACTGCAAAATAAATTTAAAACAGAAAAAGAAAATGACTTTCAGTGTCTCCCCMCCCCCCGATTTTAAAATAGGAAATATTTCAAAGCTTAAAAATAGATATCATCATAATGTTTTTAAATTTTCATCGAATTGTTTCTATTTATTGAATGTTTTCTGTGTAGCAGGGATTGTTTTGGCACTGGGAAGGCAGTGATGATGAAAATAGATAATCACTCTTTTACTCATTGATGTTATATTCCAGCAAATATAGAAAGCAGTGAACAAATAATTGAGTCAACTATTTAGGGCATCAATTGTGATTGGTGTTATGGAGAAAAAGAAAGCAGAGAATGAAGACAGTGTCTGTTAGTAGCAAGTAGAATAATTTTCTTTATAATGTTGCCACTCATAGGTAGTGTCTATTAATACTGTGGCATACAAATCACCATAATTATTCTTTTTTAAATTCATTTTTTGTTGTTAATCAATATATTGACATAGTTTGAAAGGTCAAAAAGTTTTAGAAATTCACAAATAATTGCAGTCTACTAATTGTGTGTTTTCCTCCTACCAAGTAACCTTTTGACCTCTTTCATCACACAACATGTATATAATGCTGTGCTGGGATGTATACATTTTAGATACCATCTATGGACCCCTTTGTAAGAGAATGAAGACTTTAGCTTTTATAATTCCTACTCCTTTTCCCTCCTCGTCCTTCTCCGACAATGGATGTATCATGACTTTTGACAAAATCTATACACAATGTTTTTGTTATTATTATGACCATGTAACTTCTATTCAGATATGGTACTCTAAGGGTGCATTTCCTTTCTTTTATAACTGTTTGGTTTTCTTGGAGTTAAAGGTGGCTTCATTATCTTATTTGCTTAGTTGTAAAATATATTTGACTAACTGGACACATAACTTTGTAGTTCTGTTAAGAAAATATCTTACTATAAACCAGGCATGGTGATGTATGCCTGTAATTCCAGTGGCTAGGGAGTCTGAGAAAGGAGGATCATGAGTTCAAAGCCAGCCTCAGCAATTTAGGGAGACCCTGTCTCAAAATAAAAAATGAAATGGCTGGGGATGTGGCTCCTGGTTATGCACCCCTGGGTTCAATCCCTGCTACCAAAAAAGAAAAAAAGTTCACTACATTTTTCTATGTGATCAAATGTATAAAACATCTATTTTTTTTTTTTGGTGTGTGTGTGTGTGTGTGTGTGTGTGTGTGTGTGTATTTCTTTTCCTGCTGAAACCTCCCCAGGTGTATTTACTCTCTTGTTACACAATGTTCTCTTCACTCTGTAAGTCTGGTCTACGGCATGGGTCTAGGGACTTTGTCCTGTGTTGTATCACTTGTTGCCTTGATCTCAGGTGTCCTGTTCTTGGTTCATTCTCCCACATTCAAAGAGAAAATCTTCCTGTATATTCTGAAATATATATGGATTCATTTTCTATTGTTTCTGTTATAAATTATTCAGTTTCTGTTGCTTAAAACAACACAACCTTATTATCTGGCAGTTCTATAGATATGCAGTCTGACTCAGATCACATCAGGCTAAAATCAAGGTTGCCTTTCTTTCTCCAGGGGAGAATACCTTTCCTGTCTGCTCCAGTTTCCAGGGACTGCTCATTGTTTGCCAGGTACCTCCTCCTCCCTCTGCAAAGTCCTCAGTGATGGGTCCAGCTCTCACCCAGCATCATCACTCTGATCTCCTCTTCAGACTCCCGCTTCCACTTTTAAGGACCCTTGTTACTACATTGGTCCCACCTGAATAACCAAGGACAATCTCCCTATTGAAAGTTCATTTTGATAGTAGACTTCACTCCATCTGCAACCTTAGTTTCCCTTTGTCGTTTATACTAATGCATTCACAAATTCAAGGGATTATCTTGAACATGGATAATCTGTGGGAGGCATATTATTCTTCAAACTATGGGACACTTGGAAAATCTAAAAGTTTTCCTATTCTGTAAACATTGAATTAATAGATTGGCTGGATATGGAATTCTGTGTTAAAAATAATTCCTTCCACAAAGTATAACTTCATTTTCTTGTAGCCAGCAACTGCTCTTCAACTCAGATGCCCTTCTGAATCTCAAGAAGTTTTAAGGAACTCGTTACCACTGATATTGCAAATTTGACAATCACAATCACGTACCTTGTTTGAATATTTTCTCTAAATTTGGGGGCACTTGGGCAAGATCTTTCTACAATGGAGACCATCTATTTCAGTACTGAGTGTTTTATTCTCCAATTTTTCACAATTATTGATTTCTTCCTCATCTTTCTCTTTTCTCTGTCTGGAACTCTTAGGGACTCCTTGAATATCACACATATTAGAGATAGACATAGCTCGCTCTATTTCTTTCTGTCTCTCTCTGTCTCTGTCTCTGCCTCTCTTTCTCTCTCTCTCTCTCTCTCTCTCTCTCTCTCTCTCTCACACACACACACACACACACACATACACACACACACACGGGTAGAAATTATATATATATATATATATATATATATATATATATATATAAATGTGTGTGTGTACAGGACCAAATGCCACACACAAACAACAAACACATAGACATGCTCAATATTATTCCATGTTTTTTGTTCACTCTTATTTACAGGAAGATTTTCTGAATTTATCCTTCAACATTCTCACTGAATTTTAAAAAATAAATCAGCTATGAAATTTTAATATCTAAGAAGTGAATTCTGTCTCAATCCCTGATCATCCTGCTTTTCCCCTTGATTAAAGGATATARTATTTTTAAAAGAAGGTTTTATTTGAAATTTTCTTCTGCTTCCTTTATTGTCTCCCCTTTTACTAATTTATTTCTTATTGTTATTTTCTTTTTTATTATTTATTAATATTCAAATATTCATTTGTTATAGTTTAGATATATGATGTGTACCCTGAAAACTCATGCGTGAAACAATGTTAAAATTTTCAGAGGTGAAATAATTCGGTAATGAGAGCTTTAACTGTATGAATGTAGGGTGTGGCTGGAAAAACTAGGTCACTTGCAGGGAGTGGGGTTCCTTTAGGTTTATATTTTGTCCCTTGAGAGAAGAGCTCTCTTTGCTTTCTGGTTGACATGCCCTGAGCTGCTTATCTCTACCATGCCCCGGTCACCATGATGTCTGCCTCCCTTTGGACAGAGAGCAGTGKAGATGGCTGTCTATGGACTGAAACCTCTGAAACTGTGAGCCCTAAATAAACTTTCTCTCCAATATGTTCTTGTCAGGTCTTTTGTTCCCAATGATGAAAAACTGATTAAAACACCATCCTGTTAAGAGTAAGACACAAAAAGTGAAAATTTGGGTGCAAGTTTATGATCTGTTGACAATTGTGTTAGACCACAAGTTGGAAAATAACATTTGGTGATATTTGATTATAAATAGCTTTGTGACTGATAAATCCATAGTCACTAATACTCTTTGGAGCACAGGATTTACAACCACCAGAAGTCGATTTTCTCTTATCTCTTGTCTCTTACTCCATTTCATCACTATATTGTAGACTTTCTTGACATTACATTATTCAAAGTACCTATCACAAACATTTTAGAAAAGAATTTCTGTACCTTTGAGACAAAAAAAAAATATGAAAGAACAGTTCAAGAGCTACTAATTTTATGGATTCTCTTGTACTCTATTTTGATATCACTTTTATTCAGTTAAATGGATTTCTTGTATTCTATTTTGATATCACTTTTATTCTACTTCATGACTTAGCCAACATCTGCTTTTACACATTTAGAAGGAGATATTGCCTAAAGAATAAAGAAATCAATAAACACAATATGCCTTTTACCTTCTCTGTTTTGACATTTGCAACCAAAGTATTCTACTTTTTATTTCTCTAATTAAACAGAAAAATATTAACATCTCAAAGCTTATGAAATTTTTCTTTTTATAAATTTTCTTYCATATTTGATTGCCTTATTTTAGTAGTCACACTCAGGTATTCATTGTGGTCATTAGCAAGTAATTATAGTTAAGATTGTAAAAATATTCATACTTAACTATATATTCTATTAAACAAGACAGAAAAAGAGACAACTCCTCTGATTTCTCTTGGTCCATTTGTAACTGTTACTGAAACCCTATTCATACCTAAAACAATGATAAATTTTGAGAACCTCAAAACAAATAGAAGTCCTATCCTTCTTGCATTGAGATTGTCTCATAAGCAGGTTATTATAACTCTTTTACAATATTTTATGAAGCTTACATAAACATGGAAATTGGAAGAAAGCTTACTGTATGAAAGTAGACTATGTAGGTTTTATTAAGAAGGTTTTCTTTAAAGGCTACAAAGAATGTATTTTGGAGAGAGGGAAGAAAGATCATTTTAGTTTGTTTTAGCATCAGAAAAAGAGAACAAAGGAAAGAATGTTTATCTAGTGTGGAAATAAAACAGGAAAGAGAATAATCAGGTAGTTTATTAAATGTTTCTGTTRGGAGAAGTGGATCTTAAAGTTTCATAGGTTATGCAACTTCAGTGTGAATGAATCATCATTTCCTCTCTGAACGGCAATAGAAACCATTTTGTATACTCTTTTTAATGAAAATAACTTTATGGGCAAGGTATTTTTTAAAAGTTAAACTGGTGATTAGTATTCCAGAAAAAAAATTACAGAGAGAGAGAGAGAGAGAGAGAGAGAGAGAAGGCTGGAGATAGGGAAACCACATAGAAAGATAAATTATTAAAGAAGTTTCATATTCATAAAATTCTGACTATCAAGTGATATGGTATGTAAAGAGAACATAATGTATCAAGGTGTTGTTTCCAAGGAAATATCAATACTCTATCAGTGATTAAGTAGGAAAAAAAAAAGGATAGAGAATTTAAGATAAAAATTTCAAGCCTACAGAATTAACTTTAAATAATGGTAAGGAATATTTTCAGTATTTGATAGTATTCCAATATCGAAAATGTTAGGTAGTATTTTAGCTAATATTGAAAATATTTTTAGTACAGTCACTGAATGTTTCTTGCATACATTTTTAAAAATTTTATTTTCAATTTAGAATGTTAACACTCTATTTTCTTCATTTTTATGAAGCTTCTGGTTCGTCTCAGAAAAGCATCATATTTTGTGTTAACAACTCTTTAACTACTTAATGCTTTATATGTGTAACCAGATTTGAAAATCAGGATTGGGTCCTGTTCACCTGTTGTTGAAGACTGAACACCCAAGAAAAGCCAAAACAAGAGCAAAATGTTTTATTTAATGAATAGAACAGAGAGAGAGAGAAAGAAAGAGATTTCTCTAGAGAGGAGGGAGTGGGGATGTTTTTACCCCTTTTATAAATTTTAGGTTTTCTTTCTTCTCTTGTCCCCTCCTCCAATTCTGCCTACTTAACCAAAAAGGCAGGAAGAGAGCCATCCAGGGGGTGCCTCTCACTATTTTCCAAATCTGCCCAGGAAGACAGGAAGGGAGAGACCCAGGGTTTACTCTTTAACAACTCCTTGTTGGGAGAAACAATTTCCTGGAGTCAGGTGGTCTTGACAATAGCCAGAGGAAAGGGAAGTGCTCAGGAGGTATTAGCATTTTATTTCCTTTTGAATCAGCACCATCTTCCTGATCACTTATATACACTGACTGTCCTTTTGCCCCATTTCTTATGCTTCTGAATACAATGCCTACATAATTTTTGTTCTGTTATGGGCGTTTAAATTTTATCATGTTGCTGTGATGTTAATAATATAGCATACTCTCATGTGAGATATCTTCAAATCAAGAAATGTATACCTAATTACATATGTGTTTTAAAATTAATAATTAAAAACTCATCTTTTATATTATTTTCAATATGGGTTCCTTACAGACAAATGGAGAACTTAAGCCCCACACCTTAGTTCCTATATCCCAATGAAAAGAACATTTAGTCAGACATGAAAAGTCACGCAAGAGAATTTCATTGCAAGTGAAAGTAAGGCAGAAGCAAGGAGCACTGTCAAATGAGAAGGAGAGTGGTTTATCTATAAGCAGAAAATGACAATGGAAAAGTAATGCTATATCAAAATTTATTGCTGTATGATGTTTCCCAGGAGAACTGGAGTCCACCTTTTTCAGTCTTTACCAATCAGATGGTTCACTTCTCATTTAACTTGAGGAGGGAGTTTTTTGACCCTAGTTGGTCTTTTCTGAACTGTCATGGTATTCCTTCTATTCAGAGGGGGTTCATTGGGTCAATTCTGTGTTAATGAGGTGCTGGAGTCAGTGACAAGGCAAATTCATCTTAGTGTACCTGCACTACTAAAGAAATTTCCTTTCTAATAACATTGAGAAACTTTCTGAAAGCTTGATCCTTATCTGTGATGACAATYTAATAGCAAGGACACTGTTTTGAGAAGAAGGAAACCGAAGTGTTATTGCTTTGCTAGCAAAGAAGAAACACAGATCTCCTGTCTCAGAGGCTGTGATTCTGACCCCGAGGAGGAACAGAAGGTTTCTAAAACAGGTGATCCAAAAGGAATCCTGTTTCTTGAGATTAAGAAGGAGAGATTAGGGAGGCAAAATCAGAGATGGAAGGATTAGGGAAAAGAGAAAGAGCATGTGCATTTTAGAGCAGTGATGGCTATGATTTAAACATGAATTGGACCACTGTTACACATCCCCATTGTCAATTTCTACATTTCATTCCTATGTAAAAATGGGTAATGGCATCGCCAARCTGCTTTGTGCCAAGAGAGGCCAAATAGGG